CACCGCCCCCGCCTCCGCCGCCGCCGCCGCCGCCGCCCTAGGCCTCGTGGCCCCACCAGCACCACCGCCCCAGCCCCCGCGCGGCGCCCGGCTGACCGAGGGGCGACGCGGTCCGCTCCCCGACATTCTTTTGTTCCGTCCCCCTCGCGCGGCGCGGCACCGTCCCCTCGGGGGCCCTGCAAAGGACACGCGCGGTTTCGGAGGCGACGGATTGGGGCAGGTTTGATCCGGGGAGGCGCTCTTTCAAAGCACACTCGTTTGCGCGGTCGCGGAATTAGGAATCGAAGAGGGCGCGCCGCACGTTGGGGCGAACAACGATTCCACGCGGGGAATGGCGCTTTGCTGTGCTAGTGTGGGAAGGCGTTCTTTGCAATCAGTCTAATGAATTGTATCCGGAGCGAGGACAGTTGCGAGGGTAGCAAATCACGCTGCTACAGTAAGCTCTTCAATAATCATCCCCCGTTGAGGTAGGCAATGGCTCTGTAAAGAATGAAAAACCAAACATTCTTATAAAAATGTTACAGCTCATTCATAATGACACTTCAAGTTAAACATAACTTGAACGCGAACTAAACACAAAATCTCGGTCCATGTCATTCGATAGAAACATTCAGAATGGTAAAAGTCAACAAAATAATATATAATCGACCCAGAAGTCTCACTTTTAAATTTCTTTAAACTTTTCCTAGTAAGTTAATTATGGTGGAAATATACACCACCTATTATTTAGAATGCTTTGAAAACATAACAAACTGCGGTAAAATATAATTTGGTAGTGCCGCAGGGATATATTTTTATCAGTAATACCTTGCTTACTCCACCTCCTACCTTCTCTTTTTGAAATCCCCCCATTACTTGCTGGACTCATTTCTCTAGACATTACAAATATCTTTATGTGTTTAACACAAACGTAAAAACATTTGTCCACCAAAAACTAAGATTCGTTCTATTGTGCAGCAGCACCCCTACGTTGGCGGTGCGATGGCTGCAGATATTGCGGGAAATTCGAGCGATGCCTGATGGGCTTCTGCTCCATTTCCGAAGGAAATAGGTTTTTCTTGATACCACGATTCATCATCGAACATTTTATTGTAGTTCGTATATTTACGACGAAACACAATATTCCAAAAATAGTTTTACGCTGCTGTCTTATTTCAAAGACATTTACCATTTGAGAGCCTTCGTTAGGGTAATTGTGAGTATTTGATCGGAGTTTTCTACTTCAAGAAAAATGTATTTTTCTCTTTGATGCATTTCTTAAATGGTCGGAGTAGGGTGTATTTCATGAGTGTTCAGAAGTTACAAATGAAAGATGAAGTATTACGGTTGATTTCTACCTTGTTTTTATTTTTTTTAGTGAATTGAACTACAACATTTATAAAAAACAACCACTGCAATATGTGGTGTATTCTCTCTGAGATATCGAGAATATACTTCCTGAGAGTAGACTTTTTCGCAAATTGGAAACGTAAATTCGTTTTTATTTTGTGTTCAGCCTTCAAAATTTAGCTCCCTGAAATGATCTATATGTAAAAAAAAAGTTTTGTACTTAAAAAATAATAACCGGGCAATTATCACATAGGTCTCATCTATTCAGGAAAAACAATTCCATTTTAATCGTATCAACGTGCAACAACATTTATCAAAAGTTTTAATGTGATATTAAACAGCGTAATGCAGTAATATTGATGCATATTTCTGAATTTTTGTGTGGTGAGAGCATGAATTAGTATTACTGGAACAATACAATGTTGATCACGTGAAAGTAAAAATAAGGAAATTATCCGAATGTTTAATGTGCAACAGCGGTAATTGAATGAAGGGAGAATTTTAGTGCGATTGCTGGGACAACAATATTACCGATAGCAAGTAAAAGTACGATAAATTGCGTAAAATTAATGTTGATTGCGAATAATTACTTCATTTTCGAAGTGTTTGTTATAATTTCTATGGTGATATTTAAACTTGTCGGAGAGTCCCTAGGGATGTGTTAATTATATTTCCATAACACACGTTGAACTGTAGTGAAAGCTATTTATTCAGTGAAAAATATAAATGTACCTTGCTTGTATTGTGTTCCCAAAATTTGTGTCATCAGTGTGTTTTTGTATTTATTCGTCAGTTTTTTATTTATACAATTTAATACAGTTAATACAGAACGAATTAGTACAAATCAATGCATTGACATTTCGTTTATTACATTTTGGTACAGCGATCTTTAATGAGTTATCAGAACAAAATGTCTTCCAACTAGCTGTGTTTCTCACGGTTGAGCACTTCCCGTAAACCTGAAAAGCACCTTCTTGCTTTAATAGGGAGCTATGTTGTTTACCCGAGAGGTAATTTGTATTTTGTACGCATTAGTTATACTGAACTGTGAAATATAGATCGTATAACTTCATACTTAGGGAAATTAACTGCTCGCCTCCCTTAAGAAGCAAAATCTATTTCGTGAGGGGCGGTATTAATATAGAGTTGTTCCTAGAATGCAAATGAGTTGACAATGTGGCTCGAACCCTGCCGCACTTCGTGAAATAGAGGATTACGCTGGAGATTCAAGGAACATTATTTGGAGTCGCGCCATGCTTGATAATCTTGTTCTCCGGTTATATTCATACTTTGAGGAAAGAAGTTCAATTTTTGTAACTGAGTATTTACGAGTTTTTAGCTGCATGTGTTTCATTTACAGTGTTTCAACAGAATGATAAAAATATTCTCCTAGAAGTTTGTTTGAAAAAGCAAGAAAAGTACTTTTTTAAGAATTTAAATAAGTTTCAGGCTAATTCAATTTTTGTATGACGATAACCAGATTTATTGTTGGCACCAATAGCTGAAAAAAGAAACGTTTTAGCTAAGGAAATGAACTAACGTTTTAGCTAAGAACTGTTAGCTGGTATTGACATCATTATACAACCAAAATGAGAATGTAATATTTGGAGTGAAAGTGCATGTAAAAAATACATTTTCCAGAAAATTGATGATACTTCTAACATCTAAACAGTAAAATATTTATAATGGAAGTATTCATCATGTTACTAATGATAGACTTCTGCATTGGTTTGCCAAATGTGCCTCTTGCGTTAGAACATTTACCGCAACCTACTCTTGTTGTGCTACCTAGAGAAGGATGGGAAGATAACGGCGAAGTTAAACATCTAAAAAACGGTGAAGTAAGTTTGTCTTCTGATGTACAAATAATAAAAATTCTTTCTGCTGCGTACTCTGTAATAATAATCAAATCGGATAGTGAAGGATCGACCAACGGGAGTACAGTCGAACGGTATGTGCCTCAAACTGTGGTCATACTTCTTCGTGGGCCAGATCTTTTATTTAAATTAAAAAATGAAATGGACTTAATCAACAAGAATCGTGCTTGGAAACCTCGTAAAATACACGTCATTGCTGTCGAAGGAAAGATAACGTCAGAAGTTGCTCTGAGTTTAGTGCAGGAGTTATGGAAGAGGAAAGTAATTAAAGCGGCTATTGTAATTGAACCTGAATATAACGCCAACAAGACAGTGGATGTGTTGTGGTGGAAATCTTCGGGTGTAAGTTGGCCTTTCTGTGTCGGACCTCAAATGCTCCAGCGAATGAAAGTATCTGGATCTGACATTTCATTAAGTTCTCTCTTCCGCACTGTTCGAAGACCAAAACTCAAAGGATGTCGACTTCCAGTAGGGTCACTTAATTGGCCTCCTTATGTCATTTACAATAACGTCACAAACGATGACGTTACGTTACGCAAAGGCGTCGATGGCCTGGAGATCAGAATTCTGCGTGAGATGGAAATAAGACTGGGGTTTAAGGCTTCTCCTCACGTCCATCTAATTGATTGGGAACACGGAATTGAACTCCTGGTGAATGAAAGTATTTCATTTGCCCTGGCAGGGTATTTCGCCACAACAGGGAGATTTGAGGTTTGTGAAGCAACTTGTACGATCTGGTCTGAATACAACAACTGGTATGTTCCTTCGCCGGAACCCATACCACAGTGGATGAGCATTGTACGGGTTTTTGAAATAGATCTCTGGATATACGTTAGTATCAGCGTGATTGTCGTCGCGATGTCGTTTGCTGTTTGCGGCGAAATACGAAATAAAATTCTAGAAGCGGATGGAGAGTCACCCGAGTCAATATTTGAAGTCATTCAAGTTCTTCTTGGTGTGTCAGTACCGCGTCAACCCCGGCAATGGCTATATCGGTTGATTTTTCTCGCTTGGGTGCTCTGCAGCCTGGTTGTGAATACATGTTACCAATCTGGTCTCATCGGAGTTTTAGTAAACCCAGGTTATTTTTCTCAGATAGAGACTATAAACGAACTAGTGGAATCAAAACTTGTATTCGGATTGACCGTTTTCTTCCGAAAATACTTCGAAACGTCTCCTGATTATCATTACTGGAAAATTCTCAATCGAAGTGTTCATTGTCCTCATTATGGTGTGTGCCTAGACAGGGCGGGATCTCTCAAGGATATGGCTTTGCCTTGCAGCCAGTCTTATGTAGACATGATGGCAGCTCGGTACAAAGGGATGGTCGTGCCAATGCCGCGACCGATTGTGACTCAACACACAGTCATGTACACAACCAAGCACAACCCTCTGGCTGGAGCTATAAGTGCTGTAGTCTTGGATCTCAGAGAGTCCGGAATATTGCGCAAGTAAGTTCAATATTGTAGCTGGATTTGCGATATCATTTTCCCTGCGGGTGTTGTACTGTAACGTAGACGAAGATCTTTGATTGATTGCCATTATATAAGATACAGACGATGTTAAAATATTATCACAAATGCAACTAGTATTTCGAGTACCGTTTATTAAACTAAATAACAAAGCACAGTAAATACATATTAAATATAATAAAGACCTGTCTCTTAAATGTCGCATCGCTCTATCACTAGTCACGGACGAATTTCTCGGCATTTGAATGAAAACGTCCTTTGCCGTAAACTGTTACACTGTAAGATACCTGTCTATAGCTCTTCCTATGGTAAATCTATCAGATAATTAAAATTGTAAACTTTCCTTTCTTCTTGTTTGCAATACTTCCATCCTTCCCACACGTTCTCGAATCTTCCTTTCGTACTTCCGTCAGTTGTTTCTTAATTTAATCCATTCTTTGCGCTATCCACTTTTGTTTTATATAATTTTTCCCTTTTTCTCTGGAAGCATCGTATACCGCAAATTTGCATCCTAAAGTACAAATGGATAATTTAATTTGAATTTGGTAGTGTTCGTTAGAAAGTTTCTAGAATTTTCTCGACGCTCGTGTGTTTTTGATCCGTGTCCCAATTCATTGTGTCCATTACTTCCCTCAACATTTTGCAATATATTTATCATTGTCATCATCATATCAAGCTCGCGTACCATATCAGGAGTCCTAATGTTTGCTGTGATGTTTTGATCTGATAATGAAACAGCAGCATTTAGTCGTGTACCTGCAGTGTAATGTTGTACAATAAAAAAAATAAGAAAGTGTTCGCTCTTGCGTTCTTCCTTACTTTATTTCATGAATTTCTTCCTTTATTCAATCTTTATTACTGTCGGGTCAGGAAGAGTCCCTGCATCTTTTCATTATGTCTATTATTTATTTTCTCGAACTGCATTAAACTGGTCTTTTTCTCTAGTACACTTTTCAATTTTTTCCAATTTTGAACACATTTCCAATTCAAATTCTTTTTACGTAACCTTGCATTATTTCTTCTCTTGTTCTTCCTTCTACTTCTTTTTATTTAATTTTGCTTCAATTTTTTACGTATTTATAGACACGTCAGCTACAATGGGCCGTACTTCTGTAGTGTAGAGCTTGCTACCTCAAGAAAAGTGCTATTTTTTCTGCGCCACTAGGATAAGGTATCCCCCGCTGTCCTACACGTCCACTTGCAAGGGGTATTCCTCCTCTAAGTGTCACCCCCCGTCCATGAAAAGTTCCGTGTTCCTGACTGCACTCTCGACGTGTAAAGCAATGGAAATGTTAGGGTGTGCGTAAGGGGTGGAGAAGGGAACAAGAGGTATAAAATCTAGTCCGTGTCCTGACTGCTAAGTTACTTCTCTGTTATTCACAAGGTTTAGATCAAAGTAACCAGGACAGAACAATCAGCCTCCATTATTCTCCTCTAAATTGCAACTGGAAGCGACCTGGCTATCTAGATAGTGTCGAAAATCCTTCAGCGGATCCTGGGACCTCCCGACGCAACAGTTAAGGCCTATTCTCAATGCAAACATGAACTTAAGCATGGGGTTAACATAAAAGATAAGACTACATTCATAAGCGGAATCATTCGCAATGCGTTCGCATAAGCATAACACGTAAGACGTTAACTTAAAACCTTCAAGCTTCTGTGCTTATGCTTAAGTAAGACATATGACCCGATCACAGAACAGTATCTCAAAATCTAAAAACGAAATTGGAGCGACCACCAATAGAAGAACTAACGCCATGTACCATGCCCCATGGACACTTGATATCTTGAATTTGATTCTAACATCCAACCAATAGTAAACCAGAATGTCTCACAACCAATAGAAACTCTTATTTCGCTAATGTTTATGTTAGACATTGTGAATACCTCAGTCTATCACTTACGTTAATATTTTATGTCTATGCACTAAGCTTATGTTTACGTCTGCATTGTGAATGGGCCTTTACTCCCTAGAGCCGACTCAACCTGTTGTACCCTAGACTTGCTCCTCTTTCTCGCTCCTTCCTTCGGCAAATGCCGTCCACTGGAGTTGGCCCCCGTGCGCAGGTGGTGGACGCAGCTGACGACCGCGGGTGCATCGAAGGCGGGCGAAGGCGCGGGCGCGGGCGACGGCGGGGGCGAGCCGCAGCCCATGACGCTGTCGCACCTGCAGGGCGCCTTCCTGCTGCTGGCGCTGGCGCCGCGGCCGCCGCCTCACGTGTGCCGGCGGAGGTGCGTATGCACACGCCCCGCCGCCCCATCGCCCCCCCCGGAAAGGCCCTCCGCGCTACGAGCACCGGACGCTGCGCGCACTCAACAGGCGCTGAACGCGACGCTTAGGACGACATGCAAACTCGATGCATAATCAATAGATAATAATCATAATAATAATATATTAATAATGATATAATGATATTATGCAATAATGATATATGATAATAATGATAATGATGACGATGATGTATGATAATGTAATATATGATTAATATGATAAAGGATAATGATAAATAATGATAATAATAATAATATATAATATATAATGAATGATATTGAATGATGTGATGATGACTGTATGATGATTATTAACTATTTTTTTTATTTTTTTTTTATTATTGTTATTATTATATTCCATTATTATTATTATTATATTATTATTATTATTATTATTATTATTATTATTATTATTATTATTAATTATATCATGTCGCGCCCCGTTGGCGGCGGACGCTTGCGGTAGCCGTCGTTGTGCCGAGGAGGGCATCCCAGCGTTCGAGTCCTTGCGTAGACATGGTCATATTTGTAATGTCCCTTCACCTATTCAATCAATCATCCCTTTCATCTCATAATTCCACTTCAAGCGTAACAACCTTGTGGTAATCAAGGATACTAGCTGAAAAAGCTTGATCCTGGAAGAATCATCATACGTTAATCGTGTAGCAGTGCGGTTCAGTAATGGCCTAGACGTCAATGCATGCATGATGATAATAATAATAATAATAATAATAATAATAATAATAATAATAATAATAATAATAATAATAAATAAATCGACCCCGTGGCATGGAGCAGATGGTTGCGTCATCCGTGGTCTGCGCCAAGTAGGTTGCAGGTTAGAGTACTGCGTAGACATGGTCCTGTTTGTGATTGACCGTTCACCCCTCACCATCATCCTAGCATCTTATTAATTCACACTTCAAGGCCTAACAACCTTGTCGTACTGAGGGGTACAGCTGAAAAGCTGATCTCGAAATTACACACGTTAATCGTGTAGTGTGCTCAGTAATGGTCTATATGTCAATCATGCTGGTGATGATAATGGTGATGATAATAATAAATAATAACATTAATCATTATTATTATAATAATTATAATAATTATAATAATTATAATTATAATTATAATTATTATTATTATTATAATGATAATGATAATAATCCAGCAGCCGATCTGGTTAGCCGTGTTCGCCAAGGCAGCAGTGCCCTGGAGGTCTTGGACCGAAGGATTGCTTGTTAGAGTCCCGCCTCGGGCATGGTTGTGTTTTCTTGTGTCTCCGTTTGTGATTGTCCATTTCATCTTTCATCATCATTATCGTTTCACCTCATTCCCCAGAACTAACAACCCCTTGGCGTTAAAACCGAGTCTATTTCTCTCTCTCTCCCTCTCTATTTCTGTATATTTCTCCCTCTCTTTCCCTCTCTCTCAATCAATCAATCAAAGTATATGTGTGTGCAAAGTGCAAATATTTACTCTCAATCAAAGATCAATCACGCCAGGTACTCAGAAATATACTTTTAAATCAGTTATGTTTTTTTTAAACACACAAATACACGTTGTAAATAAATGTGGCTATGCATTATATGCTTGTGAAGTTATTTGGTAGAATATTAACAAAGTAAAAGTTACTGATTAAGTTCCACATGATGTATTAATAGCGCTATTCGAAATTCATAAATGTTCCTAGTAATAACGCTTTACGCAATATTGTACGAGAAGTTTCGGTGACATCTAAAATCGTTAGTATTCTCCCTCTGTGCTTCTGTTGCACGTTGAAAGAGAGATTTATTGATGCCAACTCATGACATGACGTAAATATTGAAGAATGGCAACACAGCGTTATAGATGCCCTTTTGATCGTACTAGCGTGTTGTTGCAATATCTTTGGTACAAACGGCGATGTGACAACAGGGTGTTTATTCCCATTGAGCCCCGTGCTTCAATTTCTGCATAAGGTCTTTTTGGACCTTTTGGTTCGAGTTGATGATTTATTTTTCACAGAGAGCGTGTTTCCCTACCCCTTTGTTGTGTGGTATCCATCATATTTACAACTACCCTTGTCGGTAGCAACAAAAGCAAAGCAAACGAGGCAGCTGGGGTCATTGCCTGAAATGACTGTGAAATAAAAAATGTTATGTTAAATTTTAAAATTGTGGCTTTACTATGCGTACGTTTTGCTCATCTCTTTTTTTGCTAGTCGTGTTTGGAGGAGAGCAGGGGGTATGAGTAGCTATTTTGTGAGCAGTTTAAAAAACAGCGTATGTGGAGTGCTTTTGCCGATAAAGATAGGCTTTCTTTAACTCACAAGCGAAAATATCTACTTTTCTAATGTTCCTAATTTCAATTTGTGGTACTTTTATTCATTGTTAAATCATGCATTAATTAGGGCGAGGAAGAGGTTCTGGTGCCTCTTATGGCTTGTTCAGTAATTTAGTCTAGTAATTATCGACGAGGATTGTTGCGGGGAACAGAAAACTTTATTATTATCGTGGGACGTCAGACTTGCCCATACGAAGTTGCATTAAACAAAAGTATTATGAACGGAATCTTTTTACTTGTGCAATTAAATCTCTGCAATAGTAAACAAATAAATCACAACATATTCGCATTTCTGAAAAAAAACATAATTCCATTTTGTTCCCAAGACATACAATACGTGCCCTCCCTGTACTTGTTAATTCCACAGAACAAGTAACAATACCAATGACAAAAACATAAATATTCTCACAATCAGTTCCTCTTCTGTGCACTATGTTTACAACCCAGACATTCTTTGATTATTACATTCATATATGGCTATACTTTCTTTTTTTGTTCTTAACTAAATATTAACTTATGAAATTAATACGATTACTTGATCTTCGTATATGTTAAAAAATATATTAATCAGTTCTCTGCTTACTCGAACGAAAATAGTCGACGTTTCACCTCCTGGGATTGGCGATGCCATTCCATGTGCCGCTGAATCCCATCCTATTCCATTTGCGTCAATTATCATTTTAACCTTTCTGTACATCTCTACGCGTAACTAATAAACATATCCGCGGTCACAGCTCAGCACGTTCTGCTCTTTAACACTACTAACTTCGTTATCTATTCTACTGTAATACAAAGCGTTCTGTTTTCTTCCAACGCACACATCGTTCTGTCCGCCAAGTTGCCATCCCCGCCTTTCAATTGTTTTCCTTTATGTGTATTAGTGTCTCAAATTCGTTTATTCGTGTGTCTGCGCATCCCCTTCTATTTTCTAATGTCTATGTTCTTTCCGATTGGCTATTTATTGGCATTTCACTTCTATTACTCTTTTACACCCAGTCTCCTTGTGTTTCTTTATTTTTTTTATCCACGGAAATTTACTACAAAAATTAACACTGTGTTTTGTTGTTTTATTATTATGCTTCCTTCCCATTATTGTCTCGGTTTTTCTATTTTCATTACACCGCTAGCGTTGACCTCTATTTCTTCATAATAAATTCTTTTGTTCAATCTTTTTAATCATTGGTTGTAATCGAACACAGAGAAATCTTCTCAGTCGATTTCATATAATTTATTCATTGGAAATACAATAGCTTATGTCGTTTCGGCGTTGTAAAGTGCTTTCCAACTATTTAAGCAGATTTTCCTTCTCTCCTAAGCTTGCAAATTGTATCTTGTATAATTTAGACACGCAGACGCCAGTTCAGTAGCCCTCTTCTTTGGAATTTGGAGACTGTTAACGTTCTTCTCCTTGCAAAACTAGCTTGCATTATGGGCAACCTGGCCATTATAGGTTCCTAACCACACGGCGTCTAACCCCGCTGCGATATCATTTCGATTTGTACTGCTTTCGAAAGCCGAACTACGACCAACACCTATTAATTATTTTTTTAAATAAGTGTGGTCGTGACTTCAAGAAGTGCTAATTGGAATATTTAATATTTTTAATAAATGTATTAATAATGTTTATATTTATTTTTACTAGAATAATAGATTTATTTATTTATTTATAAATGCCGTCCACTCTCTTTATCCTTTGAACACTGTGGTGTCTTAAATGCGAAAGCTATACTCAAAATACTCGCATGGGCGAGGCTCCACAACCTTTCGTGAGTTGGCCGACGGGGCCTCGAATAACATGACGAACGTTTGACAGCTTATCGCGCGGGGTATTGTCGAAATTTTCACGCACGTTTGCGCATCGGAACACGCGCGCGTCTGCCGCCACAAGCGCGCGCCCCTTTTGCCTCACGCCGCCCAGGGCGATGCTCGTCACCCGTGACCGGGTCCGCGGACATCGGTTCACGAAAATGACCCGGACGCGCGTGTTACAAAAACCGATTGATCCGGTGTACAAGCGTCAGGCGCGAATCGCGTTACGCTAAACTCCGACCGAGGATTGGCGAAATATAAAAAAAAAAAGCACTCCCGCTTTTGTAAATGAAATTTTTGCCCGAGTTGTCAATACAAAACGGGTCGGGCGTTTTTTCGGGGCTGGATGAAATTAGTTGAATCGTTTTGGATATTTCGCTTTCCTTCTGTAGGCATCAATCAAAAGAGACACGCACTAAAAAAAATCGAAGTTTGGTAACGGATGTTGTTACCGGGTTCTCGTAAATAAATTTACAAAATCTGAACGTATACATGAAGGAAAACTGAGCTTCACTCAACCTCTACCTTATTCATTGAATGTTTTCGTTTTTTGTAAACTGAAGTGTGTACATTCAAAAGGAATGATCTGTCCTGATCCACCTTTTTTATATTCCTCTTCCTCAAAATATACTGGATTTTTTTCAAAATCCATTGAAGTGGTTAGGTGAATCAAGAGTGGAAATATTTGAATCAAGTGTTAAGCTGCAACGAATTTAAGTTTTTGAAGTTTTAATTGTTTGTTATGCTTAAACAATTAATTTGTATCTGGACATCAAATAAATGTAGCTTTTGCAACTAAAAGGAATTTCAGATTTTTCAGATTTGTTAAG